CCAGTTATATATTAGCCTGGTACCACAGGAATCAGCAAACAATATAATCTTAGTACTACTAAAATTAAGACAATACAGGATGCAAAATTTAAATGTTGCTAAAATTTCAAAAATCATTGCAACAGAAGTTAAAGTAACTCGATTTCGTTCATTCATTATAATTTAATTATTTGACAAATATATTTAATTATTTAATGTGATTTAATTTATTTTAGCAATCATTAATTGATAAAAAACTAAGCAATTATATATGCATAAATATTTAGTAAATTATTTCCATATTTGTTATCATATATGTACAATAAGTGAAAATATAATAATATAAGTATAAACGAGTAATTAAGTAATTAATTTTGGTTAAATTAATTTATCATTTCTGAAAAAAAGTTTATGTGAAATTCATATTATCAATCACAATAAGCAACTACTAAAGAAAAAAAAAAAAAAAAGAAAAACATTAAAATAATACAGCGAGCATGCGTTCGCATCTAATATCATTCATTCTATTGCATGACCCTTCTACAAAAGTCAAACCACCGGTACGATGACCGCGGTTTTCCGGAAATTCGTTATTTTTTGCTGATATTGTTTCCAATAATTGAACTTTTTCCAATATTGGAATAACCGGAATTATACGTTCCGTAATAGCAGTTTCATAGGCGGGTAAAATTAAACTATCTGTATATTTGCCAATAATAAACTGATCATTGTGAATAGTATATGAAGAAGGAGAAGATGATGAAGAAGAGGAATGAGAAGAGGAAGGATTGTGATCATCTGAAAATTATTACTACTATACAGAAAAAAAAAAGAAAAAGATTTCAAGAAGTATGATAATTTTGAAATTTATTAAAAAATTTTTAATTTTATAATGAAAATTTAAATTTAAAAAAAAAAATTTGAAACAAAAATTTACCTCTTTTTTTCTTAAAATTTAAATTGTAATTTATAGATTTCAAGTAATATGATAATTTCGAAATTTATTACAAGTAAAAAAAAAAAGAAAAGAAAAGCAACGAAAGTTTAATTCTTATCTGTCTTTTTTTAAAATTTATGCATGAATCATTTTCAATTATGAAATTTACACGTGTATAATTTAAATCTTTTATGGTATGGAAGTTTGAATGGATTCTAATTAAGTGATTAATTAAAGAAAAAAAACTAATTAAGCGGCAAGATTGATAATAAGGATTAAATAAAGCAAAATTTTATTTCATTTAACATACCACGTAGATAATCTGAAGATATATGCATAGAAGATTGCTGTGATTCTGTGCTTGTTGTCATATCCAATTTTCCTACAAAAATTTTACAACATAAAATTAATGTCTCTGAAAGGTCAAGAAGGTCAACGTATAGTTACAACTGATTACTATATAAATGAAACATTAAAATTAATAAGTTGATAGGTTACAAATGAAACATTAGAATTGACAAGTTGATAAGCTATAAATGAAATATTAAAATTGATAAGTTGATAAGTTATAAGTGAAATATTAAAATTGACAAATTGATAAGTTATAAACTTAAAATTTGATAAATTGATAAGAAATATTAAAATTGATAAGTGCGCAATAAATTTGTAATATTGCAGGAAAAAAAAAGACCGGAAAAATTTAGAATAAGTAATATTAGATACAAAATCTAAATTGTGAAAAAATTTTTTGAAAATACATTAAAATTGACGATTTGTATCTAAAAGTTATTATGCATTTATTCCGAATTTTCATTATTCTTTCCGAAATTTTTGTTCAAAACGATCAAATAACAGGAAGTTTCAATAATTCTATCAAAATCGGAAATGATGAAAACAAACCGTATTCCTGAAATTCTTCTTCCTGCACACCACTACCTTCCTGAAAATACATCCTTTTACTTAATGAATTAATTTTTAAGTTTAGAATTTTGAAAAAAAAAAGGATAAAATTCAAATAAATTCACATATGCAAATATTGTAGCATTTATTGTTTGTTTCCTAATTCAATTAACGAATTAATTAATTAGCATGATGATTACAAATATTAACGAATACTTCATCTGAAATAAAACAACAATTTTTTTTTTTTGTTCAAAATTTTTCCGAATTTTCACAACATGCAAAGAAAAAAAATTTTTGTTTACAATCACTAAAAAAAAAATTAATTTAATAATTAAAAAATGAAAATGAAAAAATTATATGCACAAATAAACAACAATATTTACACAAAATATCAATTATAAAAATGAAGGAACTGAATAATAATAATAAAACAAACAAATTTTTACCTTCAGCGACTTCATTTTTCGCCTTTTCCACTAAATTCAAAAAAGCAAAAGATCATTTAAACAATTAATTACCTAATTAATTTAATTAGCTAATTTGATACATTCTCTTTACCTTGTAAAAATTTCAAATTCTATTCTTTTTTTGTTTTTCTAATTATTGGGAAAATTTTTTCAAAAATATATTTGATAGAAAAGAATCGATTTTTCTTTTGAATTTAAAAAATCCATAATAAATTGAGAATATTTGAGAAAATTAAAAATATTAAAAAAATTAAAATGCAAAAACTTGAGGAAATTAAAATATGAAAAAATTCAAAGAAATTTAAAATGCAAAAATTTTATGGAAATTTTTTTCAATTTTTTATAAAATTCTTTTTTTACAGAATTTTTTTTTCCGGAATTTTATTCTAAAATTTTTTGCATATAAAATTAATGAAAAGGCAAAGTTTGATTTTTTTTTTTAAATCAAGATCGAAGAGGTTGAAATTTGACCTAAATTTAAACCAAAAAAAAAACTAAACCAAACTAAACAATACCAATCCTTATCCTCATTATAATTTGAATAATTAATTTAAAAAAAAAAATTTAACTTACAGTTTCATCATCGCATGCAATTGCAGCATCATTTGGATCATCCGAAATTCTCATCTCTTGAATTGTTCCCTAGAAGTTTTTTTTTTGAAATTTTAAATAATTCTCACCAAATCTATTTCATCTTTTTGTAGCATTTGTTTTTTTCCCTCAATCATATCTGTTTCTAAATTATCGTCCATTTCCATTTTTCGTATCGTTTCATCGGTTTTTACATCCAAAAAATGTACTGTTGGTTTAATTTTTGTTCCATATTCAATATTCATATATCCTATACTTCCTTCTGGTAATACTTCTGGCGCTATTCGAACAATTCCCATTTGCGCATTTTCATCATCTTTATCATTTTCTTCAATTGAACTCATCTGTTCATAACTATCGGTTGTTTCAATTTCTTCAAATGTTGTAGTTTTGGAAATTTCATTATTATTATTTCGATTAATAATATTATCACCATCACTATCATCATCATCATCACCATCATCATCATCATCATCATCACCATCACCACCAACAATAACAATATTTTCAACCGGTATTCGAAAACGATTATGTTCAGTATTACCACGATCATCATCAACATCATGAATTTGATAATCTTGTGATGTAAAAATTTCATTGGAAGCAATCGTTGGTGAATCATAACTTGTCGATGATAATGTTTTAATTATCTCATTAATTCCATCCTTATCAGTTGTAGCAACATCTGTCCAACGTTTTTTTCGATTATTGTAACCATTGTTTAGATTATTCCTTCTTTGTTTTAAAAATTTCCATTCGCTACTACTACTACTGCTACGACTATTATTACTACTTTTATCATTAAGAATCGATTGATTAATTAGTGATAAGGAAAGATTCTTATTTGATATCGGATGAATTGCTGATGAAAATTCCTTGTTTATAGTATTGTTTGTGGGATAGATTAATGCAAAATCTACAAAATTTGTTTCATCAAATGACAAATTTTGTTGTCGCTTGCTATCACCAGCGTCATTTACACTTGTAGTAGCAATAGTAGCAGAGTTTCCTCTGATGTTTATTCCTTTTTTCCCGTCACTTTGTTGTTGTTGTTGTTGTTGTCGTTGTTGTTGTTGCTGTAATCGTTCTCGTTCTCGTTGTCGTTGTTGTTGTTGTAATCGTTCTCGTTCTCGTTGTCGTTGTTGTTGTTTAAGTGTTGTTAAAATAAAACCTTCATCAATGATTAAATCTTCCACTTTTTTTGATGCTCCATTTTTTGCTACAGTATCCACTGATTGATGATAATTATCATGATTTTCTAAACTTTGATTTCCAAAATTATCAATACTGATCGTAATATCAGCAGATGAGTCATGAATATCTTCTGCTTTAATTGTCTTGATAGTTACATTTAGTATATGAAATAGAAAAAATATTCGTAAAATATGATTAGACAATAACAGTAACTGATAACGCTTCATTGATAATAAATTTTTTTGAAGAAATTCATTCAATCAATTTCAAACTTTAATTTTCTTCCAGCCTGGAAAAAAAAAGAAAAACGGAAATAAGCTAACTAACAGTATCCATAAGCTATCAACTATTTATGGAAATATCAACAAATCATTAATCAGTTTTACTATCACAAAAAAAAAAAAAACCGATGAATCATCAGGAAATTAAATTATTTAAAAAAAACACCTAAAAATATTTAAATTTACTTAAAAAGGGAACTTGAAAAATTGCTAAATTTTATGATACATTTATAAATTCAATTTAAATTATCTTAATTTAAGAATTTTTTCATTAACTTAAATCTACAATTCCCAAATGTAAATAGTAATTTTGATGACAAAGTATAAAATAGCACTCGAACTTAACACTCATGGAAAGGTTAATGTTACAGTAGATTACGGTAAGCATCCACAGACACAACATACACATACACACACACACACACATACATACACACATACACACGTATACACATATATATGAGCAAACAAACATGTGCCAATGGGAAAAACCAGAAATTTGCATAAACTTCTAAACTTCTGACAGCAAATCGCATAAATTAGCGATATTTAATTTACAGTATGCCATCAGATATATGTATATGTATATGCAACCTTACGGTAGGAAATATTGCCTTACTGAATTACGATAAATTGGGCAAAATATTAATGAATTTAAATTTAAAAAAGCCAGAAATAACTAAATGATATTTTTTATTACTGTAATAAAAAAGGAAAAAGAAAAAAGGCAAATTGTTGCATTTAATTTGATTTAAATAAAATGTAAAATGAAGAAAAAGGAAGATTAAAAAAAAGTAAATAATTGAAGAAAACTTAGAAAACCAATGCTAATATTCTTTTTAAATTTAAATTTTAATTTAATAAAGCTCATTTCTTTAATATCAATCTAGAAGAGGAAGAGGAAAAGAAATTCTGACGATGAAAAAGAAAACGCGGAAAAGGGAGAGAAATTTAACTGAATATTTATTTAAAGAATTTGAAAAGAAAAAATTAATCAAATTATTCATAATTTAAATTTTAAATAGGATTAAAATCTAGACGAAAGAAGAAGACAATCAAATATTTTTAAAATAATTTAAAATTTTTTCACCTCTCTTTTTGCATATTTTTTTTTATCATTTTCTTCCATCTTTTTCCTCCCTTTTTTTTTCTTTCTTTCATAGTTAAAAATTGATAGAAAATGTTTATTGTAAAAGAAAAAAAAGTTTTGTTTGCCCAAAATTTAACTATAATGAAATTTTAAAGTTTAAAAAAAAGTTTGATAATTTATCGAATCATTAATGGACAGAAAAAAAAAGAGGGAAAATCATTGAAGTTGCAATTTATGAAGAAATAAAATTAATAAAATATCATTAATTATGAGGAAGCGGAATTTTTAAAACATAAGACGATAAATTAATCAGATGTAATTAATTAAGCAAACAATAAAATATGTAAAATATCAGTCATTATGCAAATAGTACAATGCGATGTTAAAATTAAAGTCTCATTAATTAAGAAAGTGATAAGATTTGGAATGCTAACAAAATTAAGAATTCATAAATGAACCAAAAACAAAAAAGAAAAAGAAGAAAAAATATCAAGAATAATAGCGGATAATAAGAAATAAAAAAAATGAAAAAAAAAAGATGAACGAAAATTTAAATAAGCATAATTTTATTAATATTATTTAAAAAAAAAGGAATTCAAATATTTCAGATTAAAATAAACAAACAAATTCGTACTAAAACAATTAAAAATGAAACTGTTGAATGGAAAAATAATCAGAAATTGAAATCATTGAATGGAAAAACAATTAGAAATATAATTGTTGAATAAAAATACTAAAAATATACAATTAGTACAAAAATTTCGTCTTTATATACATATACACATATGTATGTGTTATTTATAATAAATAAAATTGAAATATTTAAACATATGGCAATTTTAAATGAGTTTGTTAAGAAGTTGTTTGAAATTGACTATTCCTTTTTTTTTTTTGATATTTTTTATAAATGTGCACGAAAAAAAAAATTAATGAAATCCTTAATGAGCTAATTAAAATTAAGACATTTTGAAACAATTTTTAAAATGGCAGCATTATTTCGACCACTATTTCAGAAAAAAGAGAAAGTTAAAATTTGAAAGAATAATTTGTGAAATTAAAAATCTGTTTGTTAGTCATTGTAGAACTAAAAAGTTTAAGCATTTCTTTTCTTTTTTTTGTGTTTCAATTTTTCTTTTTTTTTGTTTGTTTGTTTATTTATTTATTTGTTGCTATAAATATCAGAAATTGAAGCAATATGTTTTAGTTTTATATAACATAAGATGTATATTTTAGGCAATAAAATTAGTTTAAATTAATTATCCGTCTTCATTTTTTTCCTTCTTTTTTTCTTTTTTCTTTTTTTTTTTTTTTTGTTTTTTATTCATTTCTTCCACATTTTTGAACCAATGAGAAAATAATTGGAAATAGAAATGTAATTTGTTATCCATTAATCGATAAACGAACTTATTTATGCTGGCCAATCAGGCAAATTAGCAACTAATTAACTGATAGAATTTTAAATCAAACATTTGACGATTATTGAATTTTAACTCAAATATTTGAAATGTTTGAGTGTTTTTAATTAACATAAATTAAAAAATATAAATGAAATTGATAATATATGATTTAAATTAATAATACATAATTTCAAAATATAAACAAATGCAAATTAATAATACACAATTTTTTTTTTTGCATTAATTTTTTTCTCGGTATAAAACAGAAATTGGAAATTAATAATACATAATTTCTTTTTTCTGCATTAATTTTTTTCTCGACATAAGACAAAAATTGGAAAAATAAATTAGGAGAATGAATTTCAAAAGAATTTCAATTTAAAAAGCTAAAAGTTAATTGGAAAAAAAAGCTAACTTAATTAAGTTAATTATGCATTTCTCTGTGGATAAAAAAATTCCACCCTTAAACAAACGAAAGAGTTCATTTGAAGTGAATATTTTATCAGACAATAAACTTTATGATAAAATAAAATTCTGAAAGAGAATAATTTTTAGGGAAAAAGATTTTTTGTGATCAAAAATCAGATGATTCTTTTTTTTTCGAAATCAGACGTCTGAAAATTTTTGAATTTTAATTCAAATATTTGAAATGTTATGAACTTTTAATTGGAATAAACATAAATTAATGATGTGTAATTTTATTTTGCATTTGTTTTTTTCGCGATATAAAGCAGAAATTGAAAAAATAAATTTTTTGATTAAGTCTATAACAAGTATAATTTTCCGAAAATTCTTAAGTTTTCAGAAATTTTGATATACCAAAAGAAAAAAAAACAAATTGATAATGTCTTTAAGATTATGAAATTACTTAAAATGATCGTTGTTTTTTTATGGCATACTATTTGACTGCATCAGTTTAAAAAAAAAAAATGTAATTTTTAATTTAATTAAATTAAAGTAGGGTAAAACTAAAATTAAAGTAAAATTGAAATAAAATTGACAATTAAAAAAAATTAAAAATGGTCGCTTTTTTTAATGGCATACTATTTGGTTGTGCCAGTTTAAGGCAAAAAAAATGCAATTTTTAATTTAACTAAATTGAAATTAAATTGAAAAAGAATTAAAATTAAAATCAAAATTAAATCGAAACAGAATTAAAACTAACTTAATTAAAGATGAATTTAAATTGCTTACAATAATTTCCTACCTTTTTTCCCATTCATTAATTAATTTCGAGATTTAAATGCCAAATATTTTGTTTGTTTTATTTGTCAGAAATTTTTTTTTCAAATTTTTTTCAATGCTTTCCTTTTTTGTACAATATCATTAATTTTGAATAACATAATTATATAATATCATCGATTATTATCATTAACAAAATTTGTCCGATATTTATTAACACGAATTTTTCCGGATAATTGACAAAAGTTTTCCGGAATAGTAAGCAAATTACAATTCAAATTTCATCCATCATATAGCAACCATGTATATATCCTTTACTTTATTTAGTTTATCAAAATGATATCATAATCTATGATTAAAATACTGATATGATCGCTGGTTAATTATTATCATCAAAATTTCGACATTAATTTGTGTGCAGAAAGTTTGCCGGATAATTAATTATATGAATTTTCCAGGATATACAATGATTTGTAATCTATCGGTTTCACGGATCATATGATGAACAGACAGACGGACACACACAGACACACACACACACACATACACCACCACTAAGATCTTTAATTTATGATTTAATTTTGTTGAAATTTCATTTGAAATAAGCCGAATTTATTATTCACTTTAAATTCTTTTCCTTTTTTTTTTGACTGTCGTTTTATTTTTTAGCTTTATAAATTAAGCATTGCTAAATTAGTAATATTCATCGTTTAACTAGAAATAAATTTTCAAAATAATTGATGAAAAAAGAGAAGATGGAAGAATAAAATTTAGAAACGAAAATTGTCTAGACTAAAATATTTCAAAAACATCATTTTACAGTTTAATTTTTATGTTTAAAATTTTTCATTTAACAAAAATTTTCAATATTTAGTTATTTTCTAATCATCCATTGCTTATTTCGTTTTATTTACAGATAGATTTAAAAAAAAAAAAAAAATTTAGTTTTAAATATATTGATCTACACATTAGTAATTGATTATTAAGTAAAATTATTACTACTAGATATTGTTGACATTTTGTTTGGTTATATTTCGGAAAAAATTTCATTTATGCTAATTTATTTGATAATTCAATCGTAAATTATAATTTATTGAATTTATATAATTTGAAATCATTTCTCACATTTGAATATTGTTACTCTTTTTTTTGGTGAATTATTTTAAATGCTGTTGAAAAATAGTTCAAATTGTAGCAAATTGTTTGGAAAAAAAAAATATTAAAATGACAAATTGGTTAATATATAATTTCAAATATTTCAATAATCTTTAATTTTG